TCGGAGTGAAAAATTTCTTCCTTAGATCTAATCGAAATCTGCCCTCAGGCAGAATCCCCTCCCTCAACCTGCTGGCCACACTCCTTTTGATGCAGCCCAGGACATGGTTGGCTTTCTGAGCTGCCAGCGCACATTGCCGGCTCATGTCGAGCTTCTCATCACCCAACACCCCAAGTCCTTTTCCTCCAGGCTGCTCTCAAAACCTTCTCTGCCCAGTGTGTACTCGGGATTTCCCCGACCCACATGCAGGACCTTGCCCCCGACCCACGTGCAGGACCTTGCACTTGGCCTTGTTGAACTTCATGAGGTTCTCACAGGCCCCCCTGTCCAGGTCCCTCTGGATGGCATCCCTTCCCTCCAGTGTGTCCACAACACCACACAGCTTGGTGTCATCTGCAAACTTGCTGAGGTGCACTCGATCCAACTGTCCATGTCGCTGACAAAGATGTTAAATAGCACTGGTCCCAGTACTGACCCCTGAGGAACACCACTCGCCACTGGCCTCCACTTGGACATTGAACCGTTGACCACAGCTCTTTGAGTGCGACCATCCAGGCAATTCCTTATCCACCGAGTGGTCCATCCATCAAATCCATGTCTTTCCAGTTTAGAGAAAAGGATGTCGTGTGGGACAGTATCAAATGCTTTGGATAAGTCCAGGTAGACGAGGCTAAGGAGTCAAGTGCTGGCTTCCCACTATTAGAACAAGTTCTAATAACAGATAACAAGTTCTCTGTTAGCTTGCTCGTGAACTCTCATGCTGATCATAATTTTTGTAACTTGATAGCCATCTCTCATGCTTTAGTAGAATTTTCTGATTCATGTCTGTTTGTGTTACATCCTCAAGTGTTTCACACTGACTGTAAATATGATCACTTCTTCTCTTCTTAGGACTTGTATCAGGGAAGTGGGAATTAAGTAACCTCAGGTCTTGAAGTATATCGTGGTAGTGGCTTCCTTGCTATCTATAGTCAAGAGAATTAAAATTTCTTCTGCTTGACTCAAAATGTGTGCACAAATTCATCAGATGTAGTAGGATGTCATGCCTGTTTTAGAAGGCATAATTTAGGACACCTAGAGTTCTGCATTTACTTCAGAAGGAGGAAGAACTTGAAACAACAGTTAAGAAACGGACAAAACCAAAATTTGTAACAGTATTTCCAAACTTGAGGAAAGCTAGGTAGGCACAGGGGCCCTTGATATTTCAGTGGAAAACTGATTTTAAAAGGAAATGTCAGAATGCCATATAGTGGCTTCACAACATAAAACTACCTTTTTAATTTTGTCTCAAGTATTTCATGCTAACGTATGCAAAAGTCTGACGAGGTAATTAACACGTAGAATGTAAAATTATAGTATAATTGGAAAAAACACTGCTTAGACAAAAGTTAAGTACTGGAAATCTTCAGAAGTCTTGTTTATTCATTCAACTTTTTGGCCTTGGCTCAACAAGACTGCTGTTCATGTAGATGGCAACTTGTTCCATATCCCAAATTGCAGGTTGTTCTTCATAGCTAGCTTCTCAGTCTGTGGTTCATTAACTTGTGAAGTCATTAGCAAATGTGGGTGAATAGAACACGATCCCTGAGACAGCTTCTTTTTTAAAATGCTAAGCTGAGGAGACAAGCTACCCGTTTTTGATATGTGCTTCTCTTTTAAGGTGTAATAGATAAGCTGCATGAAAACTGAAACGTTGAAAAATTGCTAATCTGAAAATCTTGGTCTAATACTTCGATGCTTGCTTGAAAGGTTCCACTCTTTTAAGCAAGTCTGAGTAACTCTTTTCAGAACAGTAGCTGTAGTGATTTGATTTCTTTATTAAAAAAAAAAAAAGGCAAGAGAGCCACTTACATTCAGAAGGAACAGTTTTCTTCTCTACGGTGAAACAAGACTTTGGAGAAGTTCTCTTTTCTTGCAGGAAGATTAACCAGCCTCAGAGATCTGAATTTCTGCTCTCTGCTTTCTTGATGTAGAGGAGAATCAGCTTGGTGGTTCTTTCCTAGCCTGTCTGCAGCAAAACTCTTTGGTGCATTCTTAGAGTTTCAGCTCCTTTCGCCAAGTGCTGCCATGAGTTACACAGGTTATCAGCTCAGTCAAGCACAAAGTTAAACATTAGCTGACTTTATCAAGGCTTTTGAAGGGTTAACTTCTCTAAGGTACATAAGCTTTACAGAAGGAGGAGAGGGGAAGAGAGAGAGAGATCAGGTCATTTATTTTAAAAGTCAGTACTTGACAGGGGTTATAAAGAAAGGGGTTATAAAGAAAGGGGATTTATTTATAGCTTTTTTTGTTTAAGAAAATGCCATCTCATCAAAAAATGGGGATTTCCAGTGTCGATTTCATTAGTATGTGTGTTGAGTTAAAAATCAGGCCATATTTCGGTAGGAGATTGTATTTGAGCATAGCTTCTAAAATAAGGAGCTTTCACTCTTTCAATCATAATTTAAAATTTCCTTGAAATGTTGTTTATTTATGAATATTTATGCTTATATAAAAAAACCCACTGTAAATAAGCTTCTTCAAATAAAATTTAAATTTGTGACTGACTTAGACCTGACCTGATCAAGGTTTGTATGGTGGCAGTTACGAGGGTGGTGTTAGTAAGACTGGGAGATGAGGTACAACTGTAGCAGGGCTGTGTTGTGGAATTATGTGGCTGTTGTGACATGCTGCCAAGTGAGAATTTCTCAAATGTGCTATGTCCAGAATCTTCTACTGTGTACAGAGAAACATGCAGCAGAGTAATTTACTTTTAAGGTTGAATACATAAAGTCCTAATGGCTTCTAAGAATTGTCAGCGTCATCACAGTTCACTAAAAATTAGTTCTTGCCGTCTGACATGGGTTTGTCTGACATAAGGATTTGGCTTTCTATGCCTTCAGACATGTCTTATTCCTATTTTCCTTAATGGGATTCCTGAGTTTTTCTAGTTTGTGTTGTTTTTCTAACTTTTTTTATTTATTTATATCATTCTAGTGCAGGGCACTCCTGATCTGCAACTGTTCTGGTCTTCGAAATTTTTTTGCAAAAATTAAATGTTAACGTTTAGTCATTTCTGTCAGAAGAATTATTTGATTTGAATTCTGTACAATTTTCAGAAGCTAACAAATTAGTAGTTTACAACTTAGAACCGTAACTGTGAATTATTAACTCAAATGCAAGGAAGTGCTGAAATTATTAGATCCAAGAGAACTTTCTAACTTTGTTGCACAGAAGTATTTGCAGATCAGCATTGCTGAATACTAGAGAGATTTTACATATTTTATTCATTGTATCCTCAGTTGCGCTTTTGTATTGCTGCAGTAAAATTCTGTGCATCAAACAAGTTACTTTCATGTAGCAAATGTGGTGTACTGTAGTTACTCCTTCAGTTTTTATGGATAAATGCAAACTGAGTGAATCTTTCTTTCCATGTGTGCTAATGATTAAAAGATTCTTAGTAACAGATGTGCAAAAGGGGAAACCATTTTATTTGTAGTCTTCTATAGCATTTCTTACAAGTGAGAGCCAGTGCAGTGTTTCTGCCATGCGTTGTCCTCTGCATAAATGTTTCAAAATGCCATGTTAAATTATTTCCAGGCAATGATTAAAAACCTCATTAATATTTTCTTACTAAAAGCAGCTACCACATTTTTAGTTTTGCATGGGAATAAACGTTACATAATCTTTTCAGAGTAGTTTAGCACTTCAGTATGGCAACTGTTCTGTGCTCCTCTCTTCTAGTTGAGCACAAGAATCATTCTTTCTGGTGACTGTATGTATAAGTGTGATCAGATTAATCTCAGGATTAATGAAATGCCTATCTGGTAGTTCCTTAAATAGGTTCCCTTAGATGCTCTAGCTGTAAATGACTTTTAAAAGAAAATTTACTATATGTTTTGCAAAGGTATGACGTTTAAAAATTTGAAGCCTCGGTATACATATGACCTCAACATCAAAACACAGGAAATTCCAGTGCATAGTACTCCTGGCCCTTTTTGGAGAAAACACTGGGACATGAGAAACACAGAACAGTGGCCAGAGGGGTGCGGAGGTGCAGCAGGTGACAGCAGGCAGCTAGAATTACATATTTTTGGATCTCTAATACTGACTCTAGATTATTGGCTGTGTTGTGTAGTCTAGAAACTATACAACACTGGAAACTTTTGAGAATAAAGGAGCAAAGACGTTTTTGTTGCAAGCTTCTCTGTAAGTACCGTATTAGAGCTGCATATTTTGCTTTTTTTGCTCTTGTGCGTCTCTTAAACATATTCAACTAAATTCAAAATCTTAATCAACTCTAGGGTATGCCTAAAAATCCACTATTTTTAAATAAAGATTTAAACCGAGATTCTTTTTAGTAACAAAACAAAGCATGTTTCAAGTTCTGCTATTTAAACTACTAAAATTTCAGTATATAATTTCATTAAAAAAAATAAATAAATCTGTAGTCTCAATGGGACAGTACATTCACTTCATGGTTTAAGCTTTGCTACATGGAGACAGCTTCCTCTGCTGCCAGCGTGTATGTGCTTCATGTAAATCTGTCCACTGATTGTCCGTGTACTCCCCTTGCCCCCCAAAAAATCAAAGAATTTGACCACATCAGCTGCTTGTAAGAGTGGGGACGAAATAACAGGCTTTCCCGGTAATATGTGAAGTTTAAAACCAAGCAAAATAAGAAAGGGGGGAGAAAAAAGAAGGGGAAAAAAAAAAAACAAAACACACACCCAAAACCTTGTCAGACAGCTTGAAGTTTTGATTTAGCTCACTTAAGGCCAATGGAACTATGGAAAACGTTCACCAGTTTGCTTTCAGACCAACTCTGCTGCATGTGTTCATAAGTTCCATAAAGATTGCATGCTTTCTGTTTAATACAGACTGTATATTTTTTTTCATACCCATCCTTGCTTTTTATATTTCATTTTTGTTTCCCTTGCCTTGGTTGGATGCCTGTGTGTGTTTAATCCAAATCCCTGTCCAGTCCTGGAGTTTGAACTACGGAAAGCCAAGGAGACCATACAGGCCCTCCGAGCCAACCTGACTCAGGCTGCAGGTGGTGTACATAAACCTTTTCCTAAGTCTCTACTTTGAACAATGTAGAAGTAGCTGAGCTCATCCTGTGTGAAAGAGTAAAATTTAGTTACTTTTTTTTTCCCTCCCCAGAAAATGAAGTTCCTTTGCAGGAACGAAAAAATTATAAATCAAGTCCTGAAATTCAGGTAGGTGGCTGGTGGTAACTGAGCTTTGCATGGAATTAAGGCGGATACGCTTCTGCAGCTGGAAGGAAGATGAACCAAAGATGTAGTGCATTGTTTCCTTTTTTGTTTTTCCAGGAGCCAATCAGACCTCTTGAGAAAAGAGCTCTAAACTTCCTAGTTAATGAATTTTTATTGAAGAATAGTTACAAGCTTACATCAATAACATTTTCAGATGAAAATCACGATCAGGTAAAGTTTTCTTGTGGGATTTTTAAATGTGTGCTTTCCATGTTCTGATCTTGTCACCAGCTGAAGTGAGCTTAAATGGTATTTGTTGTGCATGTGGTTCACTTTACACATATGAGTATTCTAAGAGTTAAATATTTTAGTTTCTATTTTCATGATAAAACATGGTTTCAAGACACAGGACTTTCCCAAATTTTGTAGGAAGGAGACAGAATGCTTGCACTCCTTAAAGGAACCAAAACAAGAAGAAAAATACTGTGAGTTATAGGTACTTACACACTTTCCTGGATTCAGATAGACACCCTTTCAGTTAAACTTAAGGATCTGAATGTAGTAAAATTCTGAACATCATCTTTTCCTTAAAGCATACTCAGTTGGTTTGTGCAGGATACACAATATACTCATTGTTTGTCATTTCCTGGGCATATATATGTGTATGAGGACACTTAATCCTACTGTAGCATTGAACACAGTCTTGGAGAAGCTCTTGGTAATAAGGTGTAACATCAACACCCAGTACATATTCAGCACAAAACTGGAATATTGCCAGGAGATTTCATGGAATCATAGAATGGTTTGGGTTAGAAAGGACCTCAAAGATCACAGAATCACAGAATGTTAGGGATTGGAAGGGACCAGATCATCTAGTTCCAACCCTCCTGCCATGGGCAGGGACACCTTCCACTACACCAGGTTGCCCAAAGCCTCATCCAACCTGGCCTTGAACACCTCCAGGGATGGGGCATCCACAACTTCTCTGGGCAACCTGTTCCACTGCTTCACCACCCTCTGAGTGAAAAATTTCTTTCTTACATCTAATCTAAATCTGCCCTCTTTCAGTTATACCTGATTCTAAAAAGTGTTTGTGTCCTAGAAAAAAATAAATTGTGATCTATATGTTTTTAGAAGGTCCTCTCTTTTGTACATTACCAAGAGCTGCCTTCAGAGTGAAACTGCTTTGGGTCATGAAATGGATCCTTTTTCTACTTTGGCTTCTCGCTATCGAATTTAAGCTTTCACCACCTTTACTACAATGCAATCTTGATGTGATTATTTTGATGTTGTATGGCCTGCGGTCAAATGAGGAAGAGAAATGAAAATAAGAGGAAGTGTATTGTACGGTTTGGTTTCTCTTATGCCTTTGAAGGATTTTGAACTTTGGGATGACGTAGGATTGAACATTCCAAAACCTCCCGACCTGTTACAACTCTATCGTGACTTTGGAAACCATCACGTTGCTGCGAGAGATGTGGTGGATGTATCTGTCGGTGTAGAAGATGACGAGTTAGAGGCTGCTACTCCTATACTTGGGAGCGTCCCTGTGTTTGAAGCAACACCACAGTCAATAGAAGTAAGAGGTTGTGTAGAAGAAATGTTTCAGCTGTTTGCAGCACTGCTGAACTTTGGCATACTAACCTCTTCTGTTTTTATCTTGCATTTAGCAATGTTTAATGGTGCAAAAACTAGAAGATCAAATTAGTGTGTTAAACAATGAGAAATGGTCTTTGATGGAACAAATCCAAAGACTCGAGAGGTATGTACTTATCAATCTGCTCGGCTGCTGATAAATGTTGGAATAACTTCTCAATGTTTTTCTAGCACATATATGAAAACATACAACTTACATGTACAAAATTAATCGGAAGTTCTTCAGAGCAGGGCAATCTTTCCTTTTTAATACGTGGTATTTAATTTAGAAAATGGAAGGGACTTCAAACTGACTATTTCTCTTTTATTTCCTAATCGTTTAATTTTGTCGTCAGTTTTGTTCTTTTGACACAAATTCTTTATTTACCTCATTGAAAACAGAATCAGTTCTGATGTGTTTTGTGTAGATTTTCTCTTCAGTCAGCTTTATTTCACTCCCCAGTACCATGGTGTGTACAGCTTGCAAACACTGTTAGAAAAATGTTTGGTTTAATAACTTATTGAAATACAGTTTTTCTTTCTACAGAGCAAGACTAGTAGAAATGACAGTATCTTTAACAGCAACAAAAAAAGAGACTTTAAAAATTTGGCCAAACCATATGATTCTGTAAGCTATGAGAGATCATTCCTCTTAAGAGATGCACCAATACAACATATGGGCAAATGCACAATTTTTAAGTGGCTTTATTGACTTGCATAGTTACCATTTCAAATCCAGATGGGGACAGTATCTATTAATTCACCACTATAGTATTTTAAATTTTGCATCCCAGATAGAGTTCTGTCTCTTGACAATTTGTGTCTCAGTGCTCAGCTTTCAGATAGAAGCAGATAACACTATTGTTTTTCACTTATTTCATTGATTCACTCTGAGTGCAGCTTTGCTACTACTGATTATTGACTAAAGAACTCCTTTAAACCAGCGCTCATTTGCACAGCTTGTGTGATGTGAGTTATTTCTGTTAAAGGAATTTTTTAACATACTGGAGTTGAAGAGGGAGCTCTTCAGTACGTTATCCTTATTTCTGTGCTTCAGTCTTGTGATCCCAGCAACCTTCTCATGAAAGCTGCAAAAATATTTCATTCTTTGCTTTTCCCTTTTCAGTGAAATAGATTTTCTCAAGAATGAAAACTTTGCTGTGTCAACAGTTTATGGTGTAGCTCCCCATCCTTCTTTAAAACAAGTGCCTCTCACAGTCTCAGAGGACAACGGACGGTACTTGGATATCAAGAGCTCTGAGAATGACAGTAAACATGGAAACACTGAGGAAACAAGCCTTTCTTTACCAACTGAAGTGGATTCAAGGACTTCTAAAGATGATACGCTAAATTCTGTGCCCTGTAAAGAAACAGAGAAACTGTCCTCTTGTGCTCCATCAACTAAAGCTGCAGTCCACTTTGATAAACCTAATAGGTTAGTGGTAAGGTTTAAACTGGAATGCTTTAATTAAAAATTCTTGTCGAGTGGATAGATGTTTTCCTAACAGTAAAATTCTGCAGAATTCATAGATCACTTGTATTTTGAATGCAAATAAGACTTCACATACCTTTAGGGGTACAGTGCTGATATTTTCATATTGTTCCTTATTTTTTTAGGGGGGAGTACGTTTGACTAATGTACATTTTTAGTATTAAGTTTGAGTTTCTTTTCACATCCTACTTGTTTCTAAAACCAGTCCTTGCAACAAAAAAGCTAAAATCAAAATGGCGAATGGGAAGACAAGATGTTTCCAGTCGCTTTTAAATTTTAATTTCATGATGAAATCTTCTCAATTCTGCTTGAAGAGTGGTTGGGAAATTTTTTACTATGGATGTGTAGATATGCATAACTCTCAGTATCTAAGAGAACTATGTAATTATTTTTCTTTAATAATCAGAAGAGGTATCCAATGACATTCTGATTTTTGAGTTTTGAATTTGGGGCAAGTCTTCATTGGGTAACTATGATTCTTTTAATTGAAATAGGATATTCATGTTGTGTTACTACATGGAGACTGAGTTTGTTCTTGAGAAAGCCTCTCCAATCTGCACAGATTTTTAAGCATTATAGTGAAGAGGGCAAGTGACATGTTCATTAAGTAATAGCTAAACCACTGTGTAGCCATCAGGAGTAACATGGAACACAAACTTAATGAGGGTACGTACAACTTCTGAAATTGCCATTGTGGACAAAGATGCCCGAGTAGCTTCACCTTGTGGTCTTACCGTTGCCGTTCCTAGGGGAACAGGTAGCCATTCCACTTCTTGTCAGCTCTCTTAGCATTCTTTTGCTGGTGTTGGTACAGTCATGTGTTTCTAAAATTACCTTCCATCTGAAAACACCCAGTAGAAACCTGTGTGTGACATTCTGTGCAGATGGAAAAAGCAATACAAGCTGGGAGGAAAGGAAGAAGAAGAAAAAGGGAAAAAAAAAAGAGTTGCTAACCCTGCTAGTAATTAACTTTTCTGGCAAACCGAAAGTATCCTGTTTTCCCTGGGTTTCCTGAACTTCTTGCACTGACTCCTAGGGGCAGGGGCGCTTGTTCAGTGATATCTTAACTTTAGAATAGAACAGGAGGAAAGATTTCTGAATACAGTACCTCAGAGTCTTACTACAAATTTCTTCTCTGCTAATTGAATATACTAGCGTTTAACAGGAAAGTAAAACTTGACTTAATCTTTTTCTGGATAATTTGCAGTGGTTCCTTTTAAGCTTTTAGGGTTTTCTTATTTCTTTCATGTCCTAGATGAATATCTAGACTAGGTAGTAATCAAAACTTTTACAGCTGTCATACACTGATTGCTATAAACTTGTCTACCTACTTTCATCTGTGGCTCGTTGCAAGTTTCATTTTGCTCACAGTAATTGGGAGTGCTGGGAGGCATTAAGTGCATGAATATTAGATGAGTGGTTTGGTGATAGCAGGATGGTTATCAAAATAGGAGAAGATCACTGTCTGAGGTAGAAACTATGAGTATCTCCAGTGGGATTTATGACAGTAGTCTTTACAAAAAACAGAATTTGTTTTGCTGCTTGCAGCACTTTTAAATATAACTACATGTGGATTTATTTGTAAAATAGTTGAATAAAGCCTTCAATTCCCCTTGAGTTTACTTCAGAAATCCACTCAAAAGCTGTTAACTGCAGAAAGAAGTAATGCACGTGTAAAATGTAGCTATTTTTGTACTGAGTTTTGGGCTTAACATGTCAGTGGAGGGTCAAAGGAAAACATATTTGATATGGTGTTTTACTAAACACTAAGTTTTCTTTGTATCACTAAATTTTCATCCTGGATTATGCACTTGGTTTGTGATAATACAGTAGATTATTTTTCATTAAGAATTATATTCCTTCTTAAGCATTCTAAGATCTGTTGGAGAAGCAGAACTACAAAAGTGATGGATATTTATTTATTTCAGTCCATTTGTAGAAGAGCATTACTACAATTTATTCAGAGTGTATTAAGAGGTATTAAAAACTAAGGCTGTATCCCAAAAAGCAAGATTGTTACTGCTGTAGCTAGGGAATGGATTCTTGGCATAAACCTTGCCCAGATGGAAAGAAAGGATAGAAGAGCCAGTATGCCTGCCTGGTGTGACCGCACTTGGAGCAGCCGTGCGTGCGTATCTGCAAATGAGGACGTGGCCATCGTTGGAAAAACGCCTCGTCTGACAGATTGCAGTAGGAAGCACTAGCAGCAGTTTAAATAGACTGCACCACTTGTATTTATTCAGCTCCTTTTAGGTGTTTGGCAGTTTGCACCAAATACAAGGTGTTTTCTGGATATAGCAGTCACTCCTGACTTTTTTGGTAAATCGACTCCTTTGTCCCAGTGTTCTATGGAATAGAATAGTAGTGCTTGGGTGTTGTATACATCGTTCTTCCTTATGTTTGAACATCTTTGCTGCTGACATCTGTTGGTCCTTGAAAAGACTGACTTTCCACTCTTGTGTCCAAGAGGCCCAGGTATGTCTTCTTTTCTGTCCAGCATAGCCATCAAGATTTCACTCGACTTCATCAAGGAGAATCTTTCTGGACTCTAAATATAGCCAGCAATCATAACAGGATCCATGCTGCCTGGAGCCTGCTGTTAATTAACCCTCAGGGAAATTCAGTGGCATATTAGTTAGATTAGTTAGTTTTAAGTCTCTGCAAAATGGGGATGGAACTTTGCCCTTCTGTAGGATTTTAATTAAGGTTTCCAATGGGGAAGGATCTGATGTTCTACAGAACAAACACCAAGGTGGAGGATGGCCTGGGCAAAGGGCTGGCCAAAGCTTTGCCACTCTCTTGATGTTAAGCTGCTGCTTTGCAACGCTTCCTCCTGTTCTCCCAATGAAAATAAACCTTAAAGCCTTGAGTAGAGCCTGTAAATCTGTCACTCAAGAGTACTTTTACAGAATAAGGACTAACGTACTGCTAGACAGAGGTCCTTTGCAACTTGCCACCATCTCAGTCATTTAGTAACTTTTTTAAAGAGAACCCTTGCACAAAACCAAGCTGATTGGAATTAAAACAAACTTACTTCATTAAAATTTAAAGCATGTTTTAAAACCCCATACTGTCAGGAAAGAAACTTGATTTTAAGTAATAAAAAGAAATTCTTACTTTTCATATTTTGTAAATAGAAGAGAAAAACTACTCTGACATATTTATCCATATCCTCCTGGATTAGTTTAAACAATTGTAAGTAGGAACTTAGATTGTTAATGTGCTTTTTTTGGTTAGAAAAGGAGGAATGATTATATATTTACTATGTAATTATATATTTACTATATTATGACAATATTTACTATATTGTATATAATAATATTTACTATATTATTATGTATTTACTATAAATAGTGTGATGTTTCAATGTATTAGATAAAAATATGTGTCCATACATCTAATTGCACATGCACAGGATTTTGTGCACTCTGGTGCTTAAACCACATTTTTAAGAGTTGAAAGGTGATACCACTTCGCATGTAAGAAACAGAAATTGCTTCCTCCCTTAAAATCTTACAGTGTCATTGAAGGATTCAAAAAGCAGATGATGATATAGGGGGAGATGCTTTCTGTGCATGTTTTGGAAGACAGAAGTGCCTTTTTCCTCTCAGGCAGTATCAGATTAGCATCTAAATACAGGTAAGGCAGAGGGAGTTGTCATTACTGGGAAAAATAGGATGTTGCTGCCGTTTGATGTAATGGTCAGTCCAGTCATTGCTTTCTGAGAACACTTCTGCCAAATTACCTCCTGGGACTAGGTTGTTTCAGGATTTTTGTCAGGGTTTTATGTGCATACTTAAGGCTGTGAGTAGCTCAGCTGTGTTGGCTGGTGCTGTGCGTGGGCACTTCTATAGGTCGCACCTACGTTAGGGATTAGGCAGCAGTTTAATTGAGGTTCTCATTACACCCTGGAGTCCAACGTTTAGATCCCAAAGTGACAGTTGAACAGTCTCTATTTAATCCTGTAGCTTGTGACTGACTACTTGAATGTTTTTGTGCAATGTGCAGAATCAGAGCATTAAGCAAAAATCCTGTTTCTTGTGATTTCTGCCCCCCGGGTTGCATAATTGTGTGCTTCCTCTTGTATTGCTAAAGCTTCCTTTTCTTCATGCTTTAGTCCTATTTTTGTCTGTGCAGCAGTTTGAAAGATGCTACATTTTTCAGAACTAAAAGTAACTTCGTAATTAGGACATCCACTTTTTGTCTTGCTACAAACGAAACACCCTAAAAGTCAAAGATAATTTTAAACAAAAACTTCTGCCATATGCTTCACTGAAAACGTACTTTCTGAATGTCATTTTACTTAGCTGGTTAAAGGAGAGTAAAAGGATGTGTGCAATCACCTTTCTCATCTGTGCTTCCCCCCCTACCCCCCTCCCTTTTTGACAATATTTCAGGAAATTGTCACCAGCGTTCCATCAAGCACTACTGTCTTTCTGTCGGATGTCAGCAGATAGCCGTTTGGGATCAGAGGTATATTTCCAAGTTGACATAAACTAGAAGATCCTTTATTCTGCACGGCAGCAATAGTTAAACAAGCAATAATTGCTTTGAAACAAGACTTACTAACATACGTGGAGAAATAAATTTACGTGCCTGAAACTTAAAAAATAGGGATATGCTTTTAGATTTTGGCTTAAGTGTGAAACCTACTGATAGGTAATTACTGGGAAGTTTTGAGTCTCTACAAGTGCCTGCTGCAATTCTTATTATTCCTTTAAAAGAGTATTTTTTTATTCTTGTGCTTCACTTAAAAAAAAAAACAACCAACCAACCAACTTGGTTTTCTAGGTATCTCGGATTGCAGACAGTGAAAAAAGTGTCATGTTAATGTTGGGACGCTGCCTGCCTCATATTGTTCCTAATGTGCTGCTTGCAAAGCGAGAGGTGAGAAATCCTGAAATTTTACTTTTTTACCAGGGTGTTGGCTTGTTCATTTTGAAGATGTTGTGTCTAATGTCATGAAAGTCTGTTACTTGCAATCATGTTCTTACTTTTGTGCATGCCTCTCTGCTCCTAGAAAATGGTTTTACACCTCTGTCAGGTGAGTTCAGTAAACCCGCATGGTATCCTAATATTTCTTCCTTTGCTTAAGGCACCCATTAGCATTCAGCAAGACTAACTGTTACTGTAGGTCCATCTGTGGTAGCACAAATGTTTTTGTTAGAGAAGACCATGCTAAATGTGTGTTACAAAGAGCAGAGGATATCAGTTCAAACATTAAACTTGGTTTATTTTATCTATCAGTTCTAATAAGGATTAATGTTCGTGTTCTTTTGCAGCACTATATATTTCAACCAAAAAAAATTATTTGAATCAACTTTTTCTAGAAGCTCCACGTATCAGCCAAGATAAGGTTCATCAAAAACACCCTTTGATAAGGAAAATAGCAATCTTGTTTATATGTTTTCCTTAAATTTAAAATGAAGCTAAATAAAATTATGAAAATGTAATGTTTATTTTGAATGTAAATTAAGATGGTGTTTTGCATAATTATTCATACTATTTAATGTAGAAAAGAAAGACTGTGATTGAAGAAGGGGAAAAAAAAATTTACTGGTTTTTGTATTGCTTTGTTATAAATATTGCACATTACCAAATGTGTAAAAAATAAGAATATATCAAACAAAAATTCAACAACCTTATAGTTGACACTGAAATAAAGGGTTTGAAGTAGTCTTGAGTAAGTTTTAGTCTTTATTGAGGGGACCTACAGTATGGTAGACTTAGTAGTGTGTTTGGCGTAAATTCATTTTAAGGCTTTGAAAAATCCTCAAGAAATTTGTACTGATCCTATAATTTAAAATTTTATAGCATAAGAGTAATTATCAGCAGTTCACATGGCGAGTTTGAGATGTACCACATTTTAAAAGTCTCAAACTTTATAAAAAGGCTTTTTTTCTGAGGGTGTTAACTGGATGCTCTGGAAATGGTTCTGTTAATAACCTTTCAGAATAATTCCGTGAACGTTCCTGGATCAGTGCTTAATTTCCAATTTCTTATTCATTCCTTTCCTTCCCTCTGCTTGGCAGGATGCGGTATTTTGGCTTCTTTTCACAGCTTGTAGCATAGTCTGTGTAATGCATTTAATATTTTTGTGACCTTTTAGGCTATTTCCTACTTATTTTGTTCTACAGTTGAAGTTACATTTGGTTACATGTATTTTTTGCCTTAAATGAATCATCTGTTTCAATTTGATTGAAAAATCCACAAGTGAGAATTGTGTAACTGGGTTGCATGGGATGCTTAATGTTCTGAGACTTGAAATTTTCTTTAAAAATAGCTTTTCTCAGTTACCACCCATTGCTATAACTGTTGTAATGTTCTTTCAGATGTAGTTGTGGAATTTGAAGTGAAACTTGAGTAGACCACGTGTTAGTATTTGTTAATACCAGTATTAAGAAAAGCTAATCGAAGAACTAGTCTCTTTTCAACAAGGTACAACTTTGGGTCTTGTTCAAAACCAGCCTTATCAAGAGAGAGTCTTAGCACAAGTTTACAGAGAAGTGATGTAGAAGTATACCAAAAGATCACTAATTTGAGAAAGATATTTAACAGGTTCGGGTTATAAAGCAAAGTGATCGCTGGTCTGCTCTGAAAGATACAGGGGAACTATTCAAGATCTTACACTGTCAGTGTGTTAGACATGAGAATTAAACATAATTTGGTGATGACTCCCTAAAGTACCTATCTTGGTTCTTTAAGCACCCATCATGTTGAAATGGGTTGCAAAATCTTAAGCTGAAAATGTTGTGCTGTACATTTTCATTGTGGAGAAACTGGGCTTGTGGAGGTTGACAATCTCTCAGTAGGCACCAGAGATTCAGAAGCCATTTCAACAATGCTTTTAACCCTCTGAAGGTCAGTAGCAGCCTGACTTGGTGACAAGTTGTCCAGTAAATGTTACAGTTGTCATCTGAGCAACCAGTGAGTGTCAGAATGGCTGACGCTTTTCCGAAATTGTTATTTGTGTGTATTGGTGCAGCTTTGTTACTCAATGCCTGTAGTTTAGGTTCTGGTGGAGGAATAAGAAAGAAGGAAAAATAAGTGTTGCATAGGGTGGCTGAGGAGATGGTTTTAGTTGTTTCTAAAAGAGCAGTTCAACCAGGTGAAATCAATAATGCGTAATAGAGGGTAATTGCCTGCAAGCAATTGGTACTCATTAAAATTCCATGTGTCAACATGTAGATTTAATTTTGGTTTTATCCCAAGTGTCTAGTTTATCCTAACTGCTGGAGAACATGTGTGTCAATGTTTAGATTTGCATGTGAATGCGCTCACAAAGGAGATACTGCAAGCCAATTAGGAAGTGGAATGAACGGTAACAAAATGCTAAAAAATGATTCAAAAAAACCCAACCCAAAACTCCTTAGGCTGGGTGTGCAGTCTGCAGTAACACTGCCTACAGATAAGCAGCCTGAGTTCGTAAAATTTCATCAACATTGGAATCTGTTTCCTCAGTTGTGTTCTTACCACTTAAAACTAAAATGCATTTAAGATTTTAAAAAAATATATAATCAACCACCTTCTATTTGTTAAGAGATATACCATAAAAAGATTCCTTTGTCTAAACTGTAATTAGAGGAAATCCATCTTTTAAAATTTTTGCAATGGCTAATCAGTGCAATACTGATTTCTCACCCTTTATAAGATACAAAAAATTATTATCTTTTTGTCAGGTAGCAGGAGTAACCTTGTTTGTGCAGCTCCCACACTCTGCAGTATGTAGTTCCTTCGCAGAGTTGGGGTCAGAGTAAACTTTTTGGCTTAAGGTCAGGATCTTGTTACTCTCTCTTAATCAAGAAACACTTTTCCTTAGTTGTTAATACCTTTCATCTCACCCAGTATTCCAGGGTTAGTTTCCGTAACTTTCATTTGTGGTTATGCAAACTCAGCAAAATCATGGTTTACTAAATGGGCACCACTACATTTTTATAGTGAGAAACTGTTATTTGTACAGAGTTCGGTATGTTAAGAATAGTTTTGCTTTTATTTCTTTGTAAAGTTGAAGCAAAGTTAATGCTGAATCCGCCAACTCTGAATGGGTGCCCTTCTCAACTCTGCTAGAAGAAAGTGGTGCTGGAGATTTCAAGTTGTTCCCATTACCATGTAGTAACTATGCGTAGACACCACCGAGGCACTTTGGTTTTCTGGCATTTTTTGTAGGTAGCTGTCTCTTAAAACACGGTAGAGCTGAATATCTTATTACAGATTTTAATCTCAGTCTTACACTTTAAAAGCCATAAAATACTGGCTTTGTTAACAAATGTAAAAGAATGCTGTGTCAGAGCTTGAAGGTATATTTAAGTGGTTGTTTCCAGCATCTGTGTCAAGCAGATGTCGTTCTGGTTGGATATGGATAAAGGTATAAGCTTGAGTTCCTGGACATGAAAATTGTCAGGCATCAGTATCCTCTAAATGACTGTTTCTATTTCACAGAATGGGGGAGAATCAAAAAACTTAAGTGAACAATTAAAATACTTCCCGTTACTCTGTAAAACTGAGATTGCGGTAGGCTTCTGTAAACTGCTGAAAAACAGGGATAGTGTTGACCACAGCCTGTTTGCTGGTTCTCTCCTGGTTTACTTGGGGTGTTGGTTTTGGTTTGGTGGACGTTTTTCTTTGGGGGTGGGGTTGCCCCTCACAGATAACCAGAGACACACATAACCTTTTTTTTTATTTAAGTCCTTTAGTTCCTTTCTCTGGACATGAGGGGCTGGTGTAATTTTCTTAAAATGAAATAGCTCAATCTCAGAGTCTCCTTTCGTCTCTAGCCTTAAAGCTGATGTTTCTCAACGCCATGTCTTTAAACATGTAACACATGGATGCGAGGAGTTGGACGTAATGGTTATTAACTGAATTGCCAATTGTTACTAGTTTTATCACAGTACTTTCATATGCAGATTTTCAAATAAACAGTAGATAAACAAGTACAAAATTTTTTTCACGTCCATATCTGCATTGATTCTTCTGTAAAAGCATCCCTTTTAGGATCTGCGAGAGGCTTAATTTGGATCCTGGAATAATAGTCTCATCCTATGAAATGTAATTAGAGTTGTAATTTTAATATTAATAAGATGAGTAGCAAAAAGTTCCGAGTCATGTATTAATCCTATGATTAGTTTTTTTCATTTTAAAGCTAAAAGGATGAATTCTGAATTTCAAATACATTCTTGCAAATCCTGGAATAATAGTCTCATCCTATGAAACGTAATTAGAGTTGTAATTTTAATATTAAGAAGATGAGTAGCAAAAAGTTCTGAGTCATGTATTAATCCTATGATTAATTTTTTTTTTCATTTTAAAACTAAAAAGATGAATTCTGAATTTCAAATACATTCTTGCATGAGAGACTATTTTCTTTTATTTACTGCTTGTCAAAGGCTAAGTTACAGAATAATTTTAACAGAGCATTGGCTCCCTATCTAATATTGACTATTACAGAAGATTAAAAGTGACACATTTACAAAATCGATCATAATGTCATCCTGGTTTATACAGTATGTTGTCACCTGTTTGCCGTATTATTGCATTAATATTTGAAATAATAAAAAACACGACTCTCCTAAGCTATTGAAGTAACCAATCTTGTCACTTAACACTAAATTTATTTTTGAGACAAATATTTTGCTTATGAGCACTCCAACAAAAAGACTAATTAGCAAGAGAAACTTTTGTCAGAATATTAGACAAAAAAAATTATAATGAAGGCAACAACACAGATGGAAATTTCCTTGCTACCATGTAAGAAAATGGTAAAATAGGCAAATGCTTGCTATAGGATGCATTTTAAAAAAACCCAAACTTTAGTATTTTGTTTCAATACTTTTAATGAGTAGGAGGAACTGTTTTGCATGTAGTTGAAGTGATAGCAGTTACCTTTCCAAAGCCACGTGGTTTTGAACGGAATGAAGAGCTGCTCCACGTGCCCATGTAGATGTTGCTTTTAGTGAGAACTCAAATAAGCTCAAGTAGTTAATCCTTGTCAAAGATGACAGAACGTGTTGTTGCAAGGTAGGGGGGAAATTGTCCGAAGGTACCATGGTGAAAAATTTGCGAGTTTTTCTTTGGAGAGACCGATGTGGACATTATGCAGAAGTAGAGCAGAGAGAAGACAGACCATTTCAGTTCCCTGTGCAGTGCTTTAGGTCGGAAGCTTTATCCTTCCTGTGTGTAGCTTACCTTAAAGGAAGAATAAAGTAACTTTTGTCTTTCTAGTCTACATCTGGGTAGATGGAAACTGCCTCAGATACCACCTCGCCTTTTCAGGAGGGGAGGTGAGACCTCTGGCACGTGATGTTTGCTTTCATCAAGTTGCAAGTGCTGACGATGTCATAGTGACAGTCTGCTTGGCATCTAATCGGAACACGGTGTCACATGTCTGCAAGTCACTCCTCCTGGTATTGTTGATTAACACGAACGAATCAGATTTCCCAAGTCAGAGGCAAAAGGGAAAAGAGGGACCTGGGGATGAACAGGACATTTAGGAAAGATCCCAAAGTAAATAGAGGGAGAGTTGTTGTTCTTTTGAAAGGTGATGCTCTTCCTTTATGACTGTCAGCACAAGTGGTATTCCTTCCCAAGGAAGGCAGAGTGTTTCAAGTAGCATTGGAAGTCCTCTCCTTGATTATTAATAATCTGTACAGTCTCCGTAACAAAGATAGGAACTTTCCTCTTGAATTTAAACAGCCAAATGCTAATACTATTGTGATTCTCTGGAAAATTACCACTTTCTACAGCACTTCTCTGCTGTTTTTGAGAATGAAAAATCTGAGATGTATTAAACAAGCCTACATCTAAGGCACGGCCCTTAGCAACAGGAAGGAATGAGCTTGAGCCTGCCTGTAGGTTGTTTTTTGTTCTTAATCATCCTGAATATCCTGAGAAGGATCTGTCCCCTTTTAAGTCTTTGGGAGGTTTCACCTGACCTGTTTTGTCCATCTGTGAGAGCAGTTTTGTTGTTCTTGTCCCACAGAAAGTCCCTTTAGCCTCTAGTTTTACCTTCCTGCCCGTTAAGTGTATAGGGAGCGCATAAAACACGGTTCAAGACTTCTCACTGTTTCTCCCCTCCCCTTACTAGAAGGAACTGTAGAAGCACTGATGCAGCGATGCAGAGAACACTCTCTTCTCCCATAGTATGCATGAAAGAATGTGACCCATGGACAAGAAAATGCAGCTAATTCCATCAGCTGTAATAACCAGCTTTCTGCAAGGTAAAGAATCAGCCTTGTATCTGCCCCATCTCAGTGGTGTGAGGTTACTCATTCGCCTTTCACACGCAAGGTAGTAGTATCTAGGTGAATATTCAGGTGTTTTTCTTTCATGTAGACTCGTCTGGAAAAAGACAACTTTGTTAACATTCTTAAGTTTGAATAGAAGCTTTTTTTTAAAAAAACGCCAAACTCATGGTGCTGTTTTGAAATCTAGCGGTAGTTTTGAGTGAGCAGTTCAGATTTTTGCATAGGTACTCAAGCGTACTGGGAAAGTTAAGTCAGCATTATGGTTTCAATGGATGAAACAAAAACCCTGGAGAGATAGATAGATATCTCATGAGGTTTTTTAATATCATAAATATACATGTCCTATTTCAAGGGGTGTATTCTCTTTTAAAAAATTCTTTATAAAGAATACTTAAGAATAATTGCAAGAGCAGTTGGATAATATGAACTTAAGGTTGATTTCAGGAAGTTAGGTCTCAGTAAAGTAGCACAGGGTTTTTTTGATGTGAAGATTTTTCCATGAGCTGTATTCTTCATGGTGAAATTAGTAATTATGTTGTGTATCTACAAATTGCAACCTGATTGCCTCTTTAAAAGATCTTAGCTTAGTGTATGAGTAGTGGTATTTAGAATGACAGGTTGAGGGTTTTTAATATAATATTTTTTCAAATCTTTTTGAGTCAAAACAGTGTTTGCAGGAGAGAAAGTGTTTGTGTGGAGTACAAAAAAAAGTTAAATAGGTTAAGCCCCTTTCCTTCTCAGAACTTTAACTGGGCAAAATGAGAATGTTAAGTATACAAAAAATAAAATCTTAACTTGCAGATTCTAGAGGGAGAGGAGCTTGCAGCTGAAGAAAGTTATTTAGCATTTTGTGCAAGGTAATTTGTAAAGTTTCTTCAATACACATTTTCAATTCACATTATTTTGCATTGTGCTACACTTATTTAAAAACAAACACAAAAACTGGGTCACTTTAACATATTGAGAAATAGAAATGTCCAAATTGTTCAAATTTATTTTTCATTTCTCCTTCTGTACTTTCAAATTTTTTTTAAACAATGGGTAGGATATTTCCACGTTCATTCCTCTAGCTCCTCATAAATTCCCTAATCTGTACCATAATTGGGTTAAATATTGCCAAAATATCTTCCAGAATATTAAAATACATTTTAGGATGTGTCTGTCATCTTTGAGAGGGGGAATAGCACACTAAATAGAATTTTGTAAAATGAAAAAAACAGCTTATCAGCAGTTGATTAGTTTAGGCAATGCTCTAAACCAGGTATTGTTCTATGTTTAAAATAAACACTTGTGATTTAGGAAAATCCAAGTTGAGCAGTGAGGGTGTCTTTTAATGTTGTTTCCACATGTCGACCTTGTTTAACAGGCTTCATCTCAAGAACATCATGAATAGGTAGCTTTGAATGTCTGCAAGAAGAAATTGATACCTCCCTGCAAAATTCTTACAAATAACTGTAGATTTTTCCAGGTTTTGTTTAATCTTTCCTCGTAACTTCAGAAGTGTTTCCCACTGTCATCTGCTTGTTTGTCACAGCTTATTAGTTTGCAAAAAGCCTGTCTGCTCCAAGTGGCTCAGATGTGTGCGGCCAGTGGGAGAGGAAGTCTCCAGATCACTTGCCCGTGTTTTCACTGCAGACACCTTGATGTGTCTTGTTCTTTTCATCCAGACTCCCAGTGGGATGTTTCTGTCCCTAAGATATTAAATCCACCTAGAAATCATGTGGCTTCCAAATTCAGTTGGAGTAAAGGCTCTTGTCAACAAGGTCAAGGAAAGGGACTTCCAGTCCATATTTTAGGAACATTTGTTTCTTCTGGGAATGAATACCATGAGCTTTGAAGGCATATTTAGAAATGAGTGGGTCTTCACTATTGGGTGAAGACCCAATAGATATTGAAGACCCAATAGATATTGAAGACCCAATAGATATTGAAGACCCAATATATATATATATTGCATTATATTTTCTTTCAGTTAATATATAGTATTTTCTTGGTAGTTTGTTCCTTAAGGGGATTGAATTGCTTTACAAAGATAATTCAGCTTCAAGTACTACCGCTTTATTGAACAAAAAAAAAACCCCACAAACCTTTAAACCAAAAATCATAGTTCTCAGTCAACACAAAATAGAGGATGTCTATCTGCAGTCACCTCTACCAATGTATGTTTCTCCTCAGTGCTTATTCAAACTTGTGCACAGAATTGTGTGCATGGTTAATGGGAAATGTTAATCTTTGACTCCATGGTGTCAGAAGGAGCTTTTTCCATAGGAGTTTTGTTCCGTAGGTGTCTGTGGAGCTTGCTTCAGTTCAGTAGGTAGTGAAGACAGTGTAAACTATGATTGTCCTCTAATTCTGGTTACAGGTGACTTGCATATGGTAATTGCAATCTTTGCAGAGCTTTTTATTTGATGTGCTGCTTCTCCCCTGATCTTTCCTAGCAGGAAAATAACTCTTAACTTTTACAGACCTTCACTTTTTTCAGATCAAGATTCTAAAACATCTTCTCTAACTGTTTTGATGTTATGTGGCTAGATTTATCTTCTTAGTTTCTTTTGCTATTAATGAATATATGCCCAAAGCGTTTTTACTTTGTTTGGTTTTCCCCTACCCACAACTTTTTAGGAATTGATCCCACTCATACTGTGTACAGCCTGCCTCCATCCCGAACCCAAAGAGAGAGATCAGCTTCTGCACATTCTGTTCAATTTGATCAAACGACCAGATGATGAGCAAAGGTGTGTTTGCGTTTGTGTGTTGCGGGACAAGAAGGAACTTTTTTCTTTGTCAAAGAAGCAGAACCAGTAGAAACTGGATATTATTGGATGATTGTAACCAAGCTTCACTTAAGCTGAGATTTTGCTGGTATAGCATTGACAAATTTCTGTGGACTTCGGGACTTTCCATTTCCATGACCAGTACTTTCTCGTTACTGAAATGTAAGAACGTGCTGGGTAAGCTGCAGGGTAACATTTCAGTTCCTTTCTTATTTAAAGAAGAACTGAAACGCTTTGTTATAATGAGCTTTAAGATCACGAATCTTAGCAATGGTTGATACAGGAATCAAAACAGCTTTTTTAAACCTTTGTCTTAGTGTATCTTAGCGATCTCTATGTTTGTAACTTAACTACCATGTTTAGTCGGGAAAATTGCATGAGAAAATACTACTTTTCCTGGTTACGGTTTAGTACTATGGTAGCAATAGAAAATTCAGAAGACCAAGGCAGTGATTTAGTTCCAAGAAGCGTTAAGAGCTTTGTTTTATTTTGGTTAAGACTTTGAAACAAAGTATACTTTTAATTTTGTTTTATAAATTCTTTCTTAGTACTCAGGAAATTTGACTTTGTACCGATGTTGATAAGAATATCCTTAAGGTTGAAAGACAGAACCCTAGCTGGTATCTTTCCTTCTCCAGCTCGTATTTGATTTTTCGTATTTGATCTGTAGCTCTTCTGTTATTTTTGTTAGAGATGTTTTATAAAGCATCTGTATCTGTCATTGCTCTATTCTATCTTCAGACAAAATAAGCTTTATGAAATAGGTGGAAAGTGTTTCTTTTAAAGATTCTCTGAAACTAAAGTGTTCCGGTGTCTTTCTAAATTGTTCCCATGGTAAAATTTAGAGATGAGGTACAATTGAAAGAGATGGCTTTGGAGACAAAAAATGCAGAAATTAAAAGCAACTTGTAGCACAGTGGCACCATGGAGATTGACATTTCAAAAAGGTGCACTCCTTGTTCTACTTCAGATTTGTTAGAAATCTTCTGAAATGTCTACCATTATCTAAAATGTTTTGGATGTCCCATGCAGATTGAGAAGCTAAAATTATTTTGTGATGGAGAGGCGAAGGAAGTTACATCTTGCTTGTAGTCTCTTGTAGTTAATTTGTCATAAGATTGACAGCTTGTCAAGTAGATTTTTCATATGCCTGTTTAGCTACAGTTGGATCTGTCTTTTCCAGCAGCTAAGAAAGAAAATCCAAGCTTCTTTTTCTTTGACGTTGTTCATTCTTTGTTGTGTTAGAGATTTATATCCAGAAATAACTAATTTTCATCAGAAATTTGATAAGAATATTCTACCGTAACCTCCAGGACAATATATGTATATGCTTTAATATGCATTTATACACATAAAAATCATAATCTGTTTTAAAGGTGTCATAACACCTGACTGAAAAATAAGTAAAATTTCATCAAATAAAAGAGATTCTGAATACAAAGTAGAAAACGCTTATTCAGAATTTCAGTCATTTTTTTATGCTTACGTATTTGTATGGAAGTGTATTATGCATGCTTGTTTTTATCTGAATAAATTTAAATAATATTTTAGCAGTCTTTTGCGATATGAAATAAGCGAAGACATTCAGGTTTAGTCACCAGAACAATGGTATTAATTATCTCATGTTTTGTTTACCTTCTGCCATACTATACAGACCAACAATACACATTAAAGTAGCAGCTGATAACAAGTTGACTTTTTTAATTTGTTAAAAGCAAGAGACTGAAATGTGACACTGCATTTCTAATCATGAACCCATTAAAACAAGTATTTCACTTAAGTATGTGACCTTGTGAAGTATGTTAAAAATTATGTGGAAAGCCTGTATTCTACTTCTTGCCCATGCAAGAGGCTTTTTGGTGCATGCAGATATAGCACATTGCCATAGTCTCATATATTAATGTTATATTTAACAAGGGCACTTTCATCCTCAAGGCTTTGCTCATTAATGTACTACTCAGCTTTTCAAAATGCCTATCAAATTCTCTTCTGCAAAGGAAGAAATACGTGTTAGCTTTACTTCAACTTCTTTTTGGACAATGACGTTGGTTTTGGAAGCTAAGCAGCCATGAAGAAGTCAGATTAATGTTGGGGTCTTTTAGGACAAGTTGGAAACATAGTTCAGAATTGGACTCTTGACAATTTCCAAGTAATGTACCCAGAAGCAGCACACTTAATGAAAAGAAGCTAAAATACATCAAGGTTAGTGTATCTAGTGTGACTTTTTGTTGGTCATATGGTACCCCCTCTTACAGAACACACACAACTTGCTCACATATTAAGGAAAACTCTAGTAAGGTTTTAATGTAACGTTTAGGAGCGACAGAAGAACCTCGAACTGCATAATGTAAGATTGAACTGCTTACCACTGCATGCAGTCACTTTCTGAAACCTCTGGAAAGAGCTCAAAAGTGTTAAATTATGTCTGTTCTACACTAACTTCTGCCTTGTTCCTCTAGTCCGATTCTTGACTTCGCTTTGGTTTCTGTACTGAAGAAGCAAACTGGTGCTTTGCTGAGTCCCACTGATTTGCTTTGTGTTCCTGCCGAAGCGATTATAATACGTAACCTGGAGAGAGCTCTTTGAGGAAAGCATTCCCAGCATCATCTTAACGAAAGAGATCATTATGACAATAAGTGGGAAGTTTTTCCCGTATCTAGCCTAGGCTGCAATTTTTGCAACAGCTTTAGTGTTAACGTTTTTTGTTTCAATGACCTGTCATTGAGATCCTTACAACCCATCCTTCCCCTGAGACACTGACTGTTGTCATATACTTTTAAGGTGGTTACAGTAAAATATTTACAACATTGTTTTTTAATATTTTTGCAATATCTTAAAGTTCTCTATAGGCGAGGCAAAAGGAAATCTGAGTTAATTTGGAGATTCCATGGAACTTTCTTGAGAAGGTTTGATTTGTTAAAAAAAAAAAAGAGTATTTTGGTTTTCTCCTTTCCTAACACAGAAGATTTCAAGCGATTACTGTGTTCTGCTATCTGCTTTTTTAATATCTTACAAAAGTATGTTATGTTGCCCAGTTCTGTGATTAGGTGCAGCGTTGAGAACCAAAGACGGGCATTTGAATAACTGTTTTTTGGTGTAGAACTCAGAATTACCACAGGCTTTTGTCTCCATATTGCTGTCACAGATCAGCTGTTGAATTCTTGAGCCTTATCTAATCACTCCATTTTTGTTTTCCCCCAACCTTCTTACCTTGATCAAAGGTCTAGTTCTCTGTATGTGGTAGAGTGGAAAAAAAAAAAAAAAACAACAACCAACAACAAAAAAAACACGCACAAAAAAATTATCTAACACAACAAAAACCAAAGAGCTTGCTCTGATTGGCCTAAAGAATGCTGGGGGAAGTGGGGGAGATCTTTTTGATAGACTTTCTCCTTGCAAAGCTTCTGAAAGTGAATGAGTCTTTTTTTGATGGAGTATGTTGTATAACTGGTTAAGAAAAATAACCAGCAGAATCTCTGCCTTTCAACCTTAAGGGCATACTATGAGCTGCAGTAAATATTTAGGAGCATAGATAAAACACTAAAGCGGTAACAAATTAATTCTGGCTTACTTTCCACAAAATAATAATGAAAAATTTCGCAGTGGTGTCCTAATCTTACTGGGGAGGTGATAAAAGGAGTTTCTCATGTCCATTCATTATTGTTTGAAACTGGTTATTTAAGTGTTGATGTAGGCACTAAAAGTAAACAGAACTGGTGAGCTGCATGCGAAGTTCTAATCCTATTAACAGGGGAAATAGAAGTAAAAAAATCTTAGTAAGATAAGTGCTCATTAAATATAAGTTAAAATGTCAGAAGTGACAGTTAAGTACAAATTTAAATATATCTCTGTGCCTGTGAACTTGATGGAACAACAGTGATTTCTTGCAAACTTTGAGGAAAGTAAAAAAATGCAAGAATATGAATACAGATTACTCAAGTGATTGTAGCTACTACTGATTGATTAATTGCTTCCTTTTTATAATGGGCTTTAGAAGACTTCTGACGAGTCAAGTCCAGTATTTTGGGAGAGATGACAGTAACTTGCATGTTAGAATGTTGCAAACCCATGTCATAAAAGAGTGGAATTACTTGTTTTGAACAGAGTTCATTAAATCTCATACATGCTTCTAAATAAAAGCAATATGTGTGTACATGACTAAAATACTGATAGTATTAAGGAATTTAGATCCTTTTACTGCATGATGAATCATAGTATTCAGTAATAAGCATTAAATGAGGAATTTATTTATTGGGAAATGAGATTGCCAGTCTCAGGCATTAGGTAATCAGAGATTCTCAGGCTCTGGTTCATGGTGTTTGAGATCTGCAAGTTTCTGCAAAAGGTATATTAAATAGAAAACAAGATAGAATCATAGAATGGTTTGAGTTGGAAGGAACCTTTAAAGGTCACCTAGTCCAGTCCCTCCCTGCAGTGAGCAGGGGCAGTAGTGGCTTCCAATTTAAGATTCAGCCTTTAAGTCAGTGTGTATGTGGTGGGAAATTTTGACTGTAGACAATTACTTGTTGCCTGACAGCATCTGCTTTTCCTAACTTAAAGAATCTACTCTATATGTTCTAGAACTTTACTTCATAAACAGATTAAAGTTTTAAATTTATTTTTTCAGACAGATGATACTGACTGGGTGTGTGGCATTTGCCCGGCACGTTGGACCAACACGTGTAGAAGCTGAGCTTTTACCACAGTGTTGGGAACAGGTAACTGATTATTTTGTGCTTTATGCTGGAAAATTAGTTAAAATGAGTAAATGTTGAGTTTTATTTGTTTGAGGGGGAGGTTGCGGGAGTATTTTTCAGAAAGATATTTGGTTGTTTTTTGTCCTCATTAACATTTACATTTAAGTTACTTTTATATAACGTTAAAAATAACTCAGAAGCAGAAAATTTGTCAAAAACTATCTGGAGATTATAGTTACCTGCATATACCTTCATATGTTTGTTGTATTGAAATGTAGATATGCCCATGTTCATCATCAGTGTTGTCTAATCTATTTCCAGGTAGGTGCCTTTAGAATTTGTACTGTAATTTCCAGATTGCTGGAAATCCATTTTCATTCAAAGATTTCGTTCACTGATTTTTATATTGTATTAAGTCTCTGGAGCAGTGTTCACACTTCAGCTAGTTTAAACAGAAAATTAGAGATCAAAGTAGTCAGAAATAAGTCCCCTATAGATGGGCACAATGTTACACCTGTAAGATCAGCCTGAAGTTTACACATGCCTTCTAGAATCACAGTGACCTTTTCCAGAGATGTTCTAAATTAATACAAATAACTGGACAACCAAACTGAAATGCTCTTACTGTTTCAGCTGAGGCATAGAAACAGAATAACATGAGTTCAGGTGAGAATGCATGGTATTTTCCTACCATAATGAAGAGGAGGGAGTTCATCATTGACCGAAAGACAATGAATAACTAAGCCATGACAGAGTGGTAATGCTTGCTTTGATGGCACAGTCTTTCTGGACTGATAATTGTATACTGTTTCTTGCATCCCACAGCCATCTGTGTTTCACCATAAAGTCCAAGCTTTAATAGTCTTAATGCTTTCTGACAGTAGAAGTATGTTTGTGCAGCATTCGGGCTTATATATATGACCAATGTACGTATTGATTAAATAAAGGACTCATGGCAATAGTAGTTGAACACAAACCACATTTTGATTTTTTTTAATCCTTCCTGTGAGATTTAAACAGGGTTTAAAAAAAGTCTTACCTCAGAGCACATCTTCATCATACTGGTTTCTTGCTAATTGCCGATGCAAAAGAAAAACCAGTCCAACTGTGACAGTGCCACATATCAGGCTGCCAAGCCATATGTCGTCATGCTTTTGTTTAATGCAGTTTGCCAGGCTTTGTTTGCAGTATTGAAACCAGGTCATTATTTTCTCAGGCAAAACACCAGCCACATCTCATTGTCACAAGGCTGAGTTTGTAGAAGGAACTCAAAAATACGTGTCATTTTCTACCTTTTTTCAGTAGCTGCTTTATTGTGAAAAATTTCTTCCTTGTATCTAATCTAAGTCTACCCTCTTTCGGTTTAAAGCCATTGCCCCTTGTCCTACCACTACACGCCCTCTCCAGCTTTTTTATAGTACCTTTAGGCACTGGAAGACTGCTATAAGATCTCCTCGGAGCCTTCTGTTCTCCAGGCTGAACAGCCCCAACTCTCTCAGCCTGTGTTCATAGGAGCGATGCTTCAGCCCTTGGATCATCTTCGTGGCCTCCTCTGGACTGGCTCCAACAGTTCCATGTTCTTCCTATGTTGAGGTCCCCAGAGCTGAAGGCAGTACTGCCTGTGGGGTCTCATGAGAGCATCAATAGTTACCATCAATGTTGGGGTGGCACTGCCTACTTTTCTGGCACACAATATCAGCATTCATCTGCCTATTTCCCAATACCTTTGCTTGAAAAGGAGAAAGAAATGTGCTTGCTGTTGACCTGGGGCCCTAGAGTTTGGGTCCAGATTTGTTCGAGTCTGGTTTTCATCTAGGGTGAATTTTTGAATTTTTGAACAGCCTTAGAGTGGAAAGGGGAGGTAGCACAGGATCAAGAGGTTCTTGGGAATAAGAGCTGTTCTCAGTCACATTGTAGAGGTGTGACTCATTTACGCTGGACTGGAGAGCAGAATTTAAATAGCAAGCAAGAACTTTTTGGCTTAGCAAGTGTGTTGTCTTTTGACCCTGATTGCTCAGCCAGGCCTAGGTAGGCAGCAACGCTACACTGGTTGGCTCGGAGCACTAGAGGGCACTTGTGGAGCTCTTAGAGGAATGGTGCTCCTGAAGGGCTACACAAGGCAAAACATTTCGTGACATGCCAGCTCAGAAGTTACTCATATTCTTTAGAGTACAGCAGCCCATGTGCTGCTTTCCACCCTTTGTTTTACTGCATAAACATACGTGCTTCTCCGATTCTTCTCTCACTATAAGCTGTGTTTTATAGGATAACTAGAGAAGGCTGTGTCTGCCTTGCCTTTATGCCTCAGTGCCGAATTTGAGGCTGCTTAGTACCCATGTGCCACTTAGAATCATAGAATGGTTTGGGTTGGA